GGCAAAGTAGAAGGGGCACGGCGCAAAATAGAATGCGTATGGCGCACAGTAGAAGGGGCACGGCGCAAAATAGAATGCGTATGGCGCAAAGTAGAAGGGGCACGGCGCAAAATAGAATGCGTATGGCGCACAGTAGAAGGGGCACGGCGCAAAATAGAATGCGTATGGCGCAGAGTAGAAGGGGCACGGCGCAAAATAGAATGCGTATGGCGCACAGTAGAAGGGGCACGGCGCAAAATAGAATGCGTATGGCGCAAAGTAGAAGGGGCACGGCGCAAAATAGAATGCGTATGGCGCACAGTAGAAGGGGCACGGCGCAAAATAGAATGCGTATGGCGCACAGTAGAAGGGGCACGGCGCAAAATAGAATGCGTATGGCGCACAGTAGAAGGGGCACGGCGCAAAATAGAATGCGTATGGCGCAAAGTAGAAGGGGCACGGCCCAAAATAGAATGCGTATGGCGCAAAGTAGAAGGGGCACGGCGCAAAATAGAAAGCGTATGGCGCAAAGTAGAAGGGGCACGGCGCAAAATAGAATGCGTATGGCGCACAGTAGAATGGGCACGGCGCAAAATAGAATGCGTATGGCGCACAGTAGAAGGGGCACGGCGCACAGTAGAAGGGGCACGGTGCAAAATAGAATGCGTATGGCGCAAAGTAGAAGGGGCACGGCGCAAAATAGAATGCAAAGTAGAAGGGGCACGGCGCAAAATAGAATGCGTATGGCGCACAGTAGAAGGGGCACGGCGCAAAATAGAATGCGTATGGTGCAAAATAGAAGGGTAACGACGCACAGTAGAAGGGGCACGGCGCAAAATAGAATGCGTATGGCGCACAGTAGAAGGGGCACGGCGCAAAATAGAATGCGTATGGTGCAAAATAGAATGCGTATGGTGCAAAATAGAAGGGTAACGACGCACAGTAGAAGGGGCACGGCGCAAAATAGAATGCGTATGGCGCAAAGTAGAAGGGGCACGGCCCATAGTAGAAGGGGCACGGCGCAAAATAGAATGAGCAGTAGAAGGGGCACGGCGCAAAATAGAAGGGGCACGGCGCAAAATAGAATGCGTATGGCGTACAGTAGAAGGGACACGGCGCAAAATAGATTGCGTATGGCGCACAGTAGAAGGGGCACGGCGCACAGTAGAAGGGGCACGGCGCAAAATAGAAGGGGCACAGTGCACAGTAGAATGGGCACTGCTCACAATAGAAGGAGCACAGTAGAAGGGGCACGGTGCACAGTAGAAGGGACATGGCGCACAGTACAAAGGGCACTGCTTACAGTAGAAGGAGCACATTAGATGGGACACGGCACACAGTAGAAGGTGTATGGTGCAAAGTAGAAGAGGTACGGCTCAAAGTAGAAGGCGTACGGTGCAGAATAGAAGGGGTGTGGTGCAAAGTAGAATGGGTATGCTGGTATATAGAAGGGATATGCTGCAATAAAGAAAGGGTATGCTACAAAATAGAATGGGGTACGCTGCAATAAAGGAAGGGGCGCGGTGCAAAGTAGAAGGAATATGCTGCAATAAAGGAAGGTTATGCTGCAATAAAGAAGGCGTATGCTTAGCAATAGAAGGGGTATGCTGGTATATAGAAGAAGAGGTATGCTGTGATAAAGAAGGGGTATGCTGGTATGTAGAAGATGTATGCTACAAAATAGAAGGGTTATGCTGCTGTGCAGAGTGATATGCTGGAATATAGAAGGGATATGCTGCCATACTGGAATTTGGCAATCCTGTTGAGAGGGAGAAGTGGGGGCAAAACCAGACTGCACTGCTATGTACTAATGAAGCCTGTGACAAGCTGACATGTTCTCCTAGCAGGATATACATAGGCTTGTGGTTTTGCACAGCTTCATGGTGTCTAAGTCGGAAAGTGATCTGTATGACTTTACAGCCCGCCAATGGGAACACCAGCACCGGCCATTCAGAACATTGTGATAATGCCATAGCCTACATTTTGTATGACCTTCCTTGAACCCCCCCCCCTCCCCCGGAGGTTAGTACACAGAGGTCAGTATAATTGGGGTACCTGTAAAAGGTATCCTGTGAGAGCTAACATTGCCAACTTGGGGTGCAGGTTCCAGCGCCATCCTGGCTTTACTATCAGGCAAATCACTGTCATGCTTGTGAGGTCATTCTTATCCTTCGGTAATTATTACAACCTTGGAATTTGCTTTACTATTGTGGGTTTTGCCTAGACCTCCTCGGTGACACAATCTTTCTTCCGTGAATGGTTTGGCTGTGATATATTTAAACTCATCACTGTGCTATATAATCGTACATGGTTATTATGTTTGATGTACTTTTCTCTCTTCTTTCTTGCCTGCAGGCTTTTATAAAGGATATCCTTTCTCATTTGAGAAGTTGAGCTGATGTGTACATCTGTTTGAGGATTTACAGAAATGGACTTCCCGGGGTCTGCACGCAGGGCATCTCCTCGCCTTAGATTCTGTGCCCAGTACACTCACCATCACTTGGTGGTTTTCCTGCTAACATTTTTCAGGTTTGTACACATTGTGGCAGACCGTCCTTCTGAAGTAGTGGGTGAAAGAGTTAGTTTCTCTCTGAATAATGAAGTGGAACAATCTTGAAAAGCTAAAGCTGCCAGTGCATACTTCCTGCACAGGGACACAAATGCTTTAAGGTGTATTTCAGTTTTTGCAGCTATACTTGGGAAACACCTGCTGTTTGTTTTTCACAACATACCTAAAAATAGTGTTTAAAAATCACCTTTCTAGTTGTTTTCTTTGGAGTAAGTTTATACCTAGGACTCTATAGACAATTACTTCCTCATCAACAGGTGCTATTGTTGCAGGATGGGAGCCTTACTATGGGTGTTTGCCCCTATTGTTGGCTGTCAATCACAGAGGGTACAGCAGGTGGAGTGCATTTCTCCTGCAGGATGCCATATATGCAGGTTCAGGGTGCCATAAAGCAGCACTTCTTTCCCTTCCTGGTATTGCAAAGGGCAGGGTAGGGAGCATGCTGCACTGTATGTCTGCTGGGAACAGGAGAATCGGTCCTTTTTAATATACAATTTGCTTGAATTACACAAGGCTATGAACTCTCCAATATTACAGTGCGGGTACTTGGTGATAGTCCCAGTATTGTCACATGCCCCTCCATATCTGGAAGTACCAGGTATTTTCTTTGCTTATGGCAGATGAACAGGGCAGCAGGGAAAGAAAGGTGAGTGTGTGCTGCTAGGAAGGGGTTAAAGAAAACCTGTTGCTTTACCCTTCATGTGCAAAGCATGGTACAGTGCTATGCCCAGTTGTTTTGGTCAGAGCTTACCATGCAACTTACCTCCCTGTTTCCATATACGAATGCTGGTGACTGGCAATTGCCTCCTCCCTTGTTACCGCCATACCCAGAAACACTGGGTATATCTTTTCATACCAGATAGGTAAATGTAGCAGTAGTGGCACTAAGGAAAGGTGGCTATATATGGGGCAAAGTAGACATTTAAAGAATAAGTGGACTTTAAAAAGTGCATTTATCCTTTTTGCCCTTCAATTCCCTCCATTCCCTGACCTAAAAACCAACCCACCCACCCTACCCCTCCACAGATGCATACTTGCCTTGATCCTCCTGCCAGGTTTCTGATGTTCCTTTTTATCCAGAGGTAGTGTTATGTCCCGAAGCTGGAGACGATCGTAGACGGTCTCATAGAGGCAGGCACAGCCAGGACAATAAAGACCTGGATGTAAATAAGTACAGTAATTGCAATCATCAGTTCAAAGTAAAGGTGGCCATACATGGATCGAAATGCGGCTAGTTCAGCAGGGGACAGGCCGAAATTCAATCAATGCATGGGCAGGCTGGTTGTACGGAAGTTGATCTACCAATAGTTGAAAGTGCTGATCAGTGTATTCTGATGGCAGGGAAGTCTCCCCACTGTCAGAATACAAAGCCACAGTGGAAGTGATTTCCCCATTCACCTTGCAGGAATTAAAAAAAAAAAAAAAAAGTTAAATATCCTTTATTTTAAAGTGCATTTATCCTTTAAGTAAATCTATAGCTTTGCCCTACATTTATTTTATTTATTATCTATGGGCGGTTGGACAGATCTCCTTTTTGTTTTGTTTGAGCAGACTGGATCAGACACGGAGATAGTCCATGTGTCCAGCTACACTCGCTTGTACATGGGGATGAAAGGCCCATTTGATCAGGTCTGCCTGAAAAACTGAGAGGCGGACCTGATTGGATCTCCCTTGTGAAAGGGGCCTTTGGCATGTGGGAGGAAACCAGAATACACAGAGAAAGCCCAGGTAGGCACAGGGAGAATATGCAAACGCCAGGCAGGTAGTGTCGTGGTTGGGATTTGAACCGATGACCCTAGTGCTGCCAGACAGAAGTGCTAACCACTTGGCTATTGTGCAGTGTGGGGCAAAATGCAGGTTTAAATCTTTTTTTTTTTTTTTTTCTATGATGTAACCCAGATTCAGGTAATTATCTTTTTATCTAGTATATCAAAATTTATGAAATCTAATTTTGCAACATAAAGCATCATTGGGTGTTGTCTGACCTGAAGTGCAAGTTTACAAGCCAGGACATCCAGGATGTACAGGTCATGTGATCTGGAATGCTTGTCACCAACTGTATTATGTAGTCAGGAGAGGCTGTGTGAATGTTGACGGAACCTCCGATAACAAGAGGTTATATTGTTTGAGGCGATGAGATATTATCTTAAAATACTAACCCATTTGAACAACTCCTAGGCATTTTGAAATGGACAAACCCTGTAATAGAAAATCTGCACCCTTTTCTGTGTAAAACGAACTTGTAACGTTGTGTCCATTCCTCTAACATCTTGTGCCAGGAGTTGTAAGAAGTTTCAATATTTGCTTCCATGTGTGTGTCAGAACTGCACAGGCCTGAAACTGTGAAACTCCGCTCCCATTTTGCCAGACTACAAGTTTTAATGTCCACAAGCCTTGCACTTCAGCTGTGGTGAAACTGCATATCCTGTCATGCCTGTGGCTGTTAGTCTTGCAGTGCCTTGTGGGACTTGTAGTTCCACAACAGCTGGAAATTGCCTACCCTGATCTACTGTTCACTATAGGCACAGATGGAAAACTTTTTTGGGCCGTCAGGTCCTTGGCTGCTTATTGGTTCCTCCCTGGCTAGAGATAAATGTAATAATTTTCAATCTTTAAATATGCTTCTTTCATTTAAAAAAAAAAAAAAAAAAATTTGTCAATCCTGCCATAAAGGTCCTTTCTCAATAACTTCCTGTTATAGAGTGACAGTACTCTGTTCTCCAGTTGTTGTGCTGCATTGCAGCATGGGCTTCCGATAGAAAATACAAGTGGCCATTTTGACAAACATTTTGCAGTACTGTTCCACTCTCCTGATTCTGCTTTTGTGTGGTCACCCTGACGTGTGCATTCCTGATGGGGACTACAAGCAGCAGTGTCAACACCAATGAAAATCGGTTCTAGAGAAATTATGTAGGGCTGTGTCTGGAGTGAGTGAAAGTATTTTATCAAAACCAATAGGACAGCACAGTGGCAAAGTGGTTTGCACTTCCGCCTAGCAGCACAAGGGTCATCTGTTCAAATCCCAACCATGACACTACCTGCCTGGAGTTTGCATGTTCTCCCTGTGCCTGTGTGGGTTTCCTCTGGGTACTCTGGCTTCCTCCCATTCCAAAGGAATGCTGTTAGGTTATTTGGATCCTGTCTAAATTGGCCCTAATATGTGTAGGAATGTGAGTTAGGGACCTTAGATCGTAAGCTCTTGAGGGCAGGGACTGATGTGTATGTACTAAGATATATATATATATATATTGTGTAAAGCGCTGCATAAATTGACGGCGCTATATAAATACCTGTAATAAAATAAACCAATATCAAGAATTCGATAGGCGGTGCCTCAACAAATTAAAGGTACTGTCTATCTAGAGCATGGTGGTCAAACTGGTGGCCCTCCAGCTGTTGCCAAACTACAAGTCCCATAAGGCATTGCAAGATTGACAGCTATAAGCATGACTCCGAAAGGCAGAGGCATGATGGGACTTGTAGTTTCACAACAGCTGGAGGGCCGCCAGTTTGACATCCCTGATCTAGAGCATTGCACTTGCGATCAGTGCTTCATGGGTGCAGTGCACAGGGTCTAATGTATGCCCCCAACCTCAAGTCCATATGGGGTTCAAAGCTTATTTGAGAAAATGCAGCAGAACTACTGAGTAGAGAGTGGAGGAAGGGGTCCCCAGTATGCTCTGCCTAGTTCCTTTTGCTGTTGTGATAGAGGGGACTTGTAGTAAATTTCATCCAGATTCCTGAAACTTGATGTTTTGGCTGTGAGGGCAAAGTCATGCACAGCCGTGCTAAATTAAAAAAAAATATATATCACAGGATACTTCTAGAAGATGCACCCTGTGATACAGGTAAGGGGGGCGTTTTGGGCATGGGGTATGCCACCATGTTTCATGTTATACCCTAAATATGAATACTGCATGAAACCTGGTTAAAACATGGACATTTAATTTTCATCCAATTAGGATATATATCTATTAATTATGTGTCTTTATTCTGCTCCCCCAGTTATTCGCTGCTCCATGCATCCAGGAAAGCATTTAGCAATGTTAAAGTCAGCATAACCAACCAGTGGACCCCATCCAGTCTAAATGCCTCTATGTCCATCGTCGACCCAAACTCGGTAAGGCTAGTCTGTAAACAGAACAAGATAAGAAATGGAAAAAAAATGTAATAAATGTAGCACCAATGTTTTCCTCTGTGTTTTGCAATGTGCATGCTGCATACACAAGATTGTACTCTTTTGTCCCCAGCAAACATATACATATGATTGAGGCAGTTAAGGTGGAAGTCAATTCATCTGTTAGTATTTTGGGATTGTAGGACGAAACTGGATCACCTAAAATAAAACTTATGTAAACACAGGAAGAGCACACAAACTGAGATTGTTCTTGATGGAAACTAAACCCACAATCTCAGTGCTGCAAAGCAAGCAAAGTCAAATTTTAACCTATAAGAAAACAAATTATCACTGTGTGCGGTTCTACTAGATTCTATATGGTATGTGTGCATTGGTATAGTGCAGGGGTCTGCAACCTTTAAGACATAAAGAGCCACTTGGACCCGTTTCCGAGAGGGAAAAAAAAGACTGGGAGCCGCAAAACCATTGCAACATTTAAAACAAATCCGACACTGCATATATTGCAAAAAGCGCTCTGGTCATGAAGGGGGTTTAAGGGCCCAGTAAGCAAAGGGTTAATCAGGGCCACAGTGTATCGTCATAATCACAATCATAGCCTTAGGTCAGTGGTGGGCAACCTTTTTTTTCAACTGAGCCAAATCTCGCCAAAACCACGATTGAAATTTATTTTGAGAGAAACATTTTTAAAACTGAAAATACATCCCCCATATAGTAATCCATCCCCCATATAGTAATTAATCCCCCATATATAGTAATTAATCCCCCATATAGTAATTAATCCCCCATATAGTAATTAATCCCCCATATAGTAATTCATCCCCCATAGTAATTCATCCCCCATATAGTAATTCATCCCCCATATAGTAATTCATCCCCCATATAGTAATTCATCCCCCATAGTAATTCATCCCCCATAGTAATTCATCCCCCATATAGCAATTCATCCCCCATATAGCAATTCCCCCATATAGCAATTCATCCCCCATATAGCAATTCATCCCCCATATAGCAATTCATCCCCCCTATAGCAATTCATCCCCCCTATAGCAATTCATCCCCCCTATAGCAATTCATCCCCCCTATAGTAATTCATCCCCCCTATAGTAATTCATCCCCCCTATATTCATCCCCCCTATAGTAATTATCCCCCCTATAGTAATTCATTCCCCATATTGTGTCAATTCACTTACCTTTGCTCCGCGCGTTCCTCTCGCTGTGTTCCCGCGCCGTTCTGGTCTTCAGGGCGGACTGTGAGAGGAGAGGAGTTCGTCACGCTGCCCCGCCTACATCCTGACAGCCAATGTTTGCCAGCGGGCGCCCGGCACACAGAAGAGCTGCATTAAAAGAGCCGCGGCTTGCCGACCCTATTGCCTGTCACCTGGTGGTCAGTGTGCTCCGGAGCCGCAGGAAAGGTGAAAAAGAGCCGCATGCGGCTCCGGAGCCGCGGGTTGCCGACACCCGGTATAGTGTATGTATGGGCAAAAAAAAAAAAAACCCCTATTTAGTGCATCTCTGCAATATACAGCCCTGGCCAAAAGTTTTGAGAATGACACAAATAATAATTTTCACAAAGTCTGCTGCTTCAGTGTTTTTAGATCTTTTTGTCAGGTGTTACTATGGTATACTGAAGTATAATTATAAGCATTTCATAAGTGTCAAAGGCTTTTTTTGACAATTACATTAAGTTTATGCAAAGAGTCGATATTTGCAGTGTTGCCCCTTTTTTTCCAGACTTCTGCAGTTCATTCCGACATGCTGTCAATCAACTTTTGGGCCACATCCATACTGATGGCAGCCCATTCTTGCATAATCAATGCTTGAAGTTTGTCAGAATTTTGGGGGGGGGGGGGGGTTTGTTCACCCGCCTCTTGAGGATTGACCACAAGTTCACAATGAGATTAAGGTCTGGGGAGTTTCCTGGCCATGGACCCAAAATTTCGATATTTTTTTCCCCAAGCCGCTTCGTTATCACTTTTGCCTTATGGCAAGGTGCTCCATCATGCTGGAAAAGGCATTGTTAGTCACCAAACTGTTCTTGGATGATTGGGAGAAGTTGCTGTCGGAGGATGTTTTAGTACCATTCTTTATTCATGGCTGTGTTCTTAGGCAAAATTGTGAGTGAGCCCACTTCCTTGGCTGAGGAGCAATCCCACACATGAATAGTCTCGGTATGCTTTACTGTTGGCATGACACAGGACTGATGGTAGCGCTCACCTTTTCTTCTCCGGACAAGATTTTTCCCGGATACTCCAAACAATCGGAAAGGGGATTCATCAGAGAAGATGACTTTACCCCAGTCCTCAGCAGTCCAATCCCTGTACCTTTTGCAGAATATCAGTCTGTCCCTGATGTTTTCCTGGAAAGAAATAGCTTCTTTGCTTTCCTTCTTGACACCAGGCCATCCTCCAAAAGACTTCTCACTGTGTGTGCAGGTGCACTCATACCTGCCTGCTTCCATTCCTGAGCACTGATGGCTTCCATTCTGCACTGTTGGTGCTCCGATCCCACAGCTGAATCCATTTTAGGAGATGGTCCCGGCGCTTGGTGGACTCACTTGGGCGCCCTGAAGCCTTCTTCACAACAATTTAACCTCTCTCCTTGAAGTTCTTGATGATCTGATAAATGGTTGATTTGGGTGCAATATATCCCTGCCTGTGTATCCCTTTTTGTGCAAAGCAATGGTGACTGCACGTGTTTTCTTGCAGGTAAATTAATATTTGCGTAATTCTCAACACTTTTGGCCAGGGCTGTGTGCATTTTTGTCTCTTTAAAAACGTTGTAATTACCTGTTGATCCTGAAAGAAATCCAGTGAGCCCCTAACTTCCTGTATTGAGCTAACAATGCTGCCTCTTATGCCCTTCTTCCCTGCTGTAATACAATACACCTCCTTGTGTTACAGAGATAGGGGAATGTGCTCTGGATTCCAACACAGGAGAACTGGGCAGGGGTGATGACACTGCTTGGGAAATCAGTCCAGCAGAAGCAGTGTTGTCACTACAGCTCACTGCATTTCTCGTGAGGTCAACTTGTATTCTTCTGTACTTGCAGCATTTTTAAAGAGAAAAAATAGGGGAAATGTGCATGTATTGCAGAGATGTACTGAATGTTTTTTTTATTTGCCCAGATTGTAAAGTTAGCCCTCACACTAGATATTCTGCAAATTGTGCTGATCTGACACCCCAAAGTGACTATTCAGGTAGCTTAAACCACAGGGTTGGCTTATACACGGTGGTTTTGCATCACTTTTAATATTTTTAGCAAGCTCAAAAGGAACATACAGTTATGCTGAACAGGATCTGAAAAGGGGACTTATGGCATAGTCTGGGATGAGGGGAGCAAAACTTTTCACGTTCGCACATTACACACAAAGCCTTTGTACAATAATGCAATAAAGGAATGAGCCTCTGTTGCCCAAACCAGCCAATTGGTTTTCAGGTGTCATTTTCTTTGTGTATATATTTGAAAATCCAAATCTTACACTAAGTTACAGCAATACAAGCCAAAAATATTAAGGGAGAAATAACAAAGTTCATTGGTGGAACAGGCAGGTATTAAATAGTTTATGACTGATCACTTTTTTATAAAATGTCTTTCTAACATGTTTCTGATATCTTCATCAGACTTGGAATGGCAGTCACCTCTTCCCCAATACCAATTCTGCCACCATCTTCCTGGGCCTCCTGGACACCATTTTCCTCTTTTCCTATGCAGTGGTAAGTTATCCTACGCTGTATTTTTTTTCCTTGTGGTCACCAGCTGCAATATTCATTTTTTAATTGTAACAACAGACTTGCCTGTGTTGCTGTGTGAGAAGTGTTAGTAAGTCCTTATGTTTTGATGTTTCTAGGCTTAGGCTCCTTTCACCCAGGCATACTGATCGAGTCAACCTGTCCCTTTTTTAAGGCGGACCCAATTGGACCATCCATTGCCAGCGGTGGATGTAAATGGACATGTGTCAGTTTACTCCCGCTTGCATCCGATCTGATCTGCTTAAAACAGGCAGATGGGGATCCATGCCCCATCTGTTGATGGGATGGCAGTCTGAGGTAAATGGACAGGCGGTCAGTTTACATCCAACAGCCCATAGAGAAAAGAGGGCTGTGTCCGTGTCCAGTCTTCATAAGTGAAGCAGACACTGACTTCTCATCCACCTGCTCAGCATGGATCAGTAGACAGGCTGAGCAGGAGGATCCACTGGCAGAGTCCGCCTGTATGAAAGGGGCCTTAGTGTGAATTGGCACTTGATGCTTTTGTTCATGCAAACTGAGAGGTTCAATTTAATAGTGAACCCACAAGCACATAAACTTCATGGTCAAAAGTATCTGGACACCCCTCTAAATTATTAGTTCTGGTGTTTCTAGTGAAGAGAACTGTTAATGCTGCAGCATAGATAGACATTAGTGGACAATTCAACTTTGATGCAAATGTGCTCCTGTGCACAAAGCCAGCTCCATAAAAGACATGGTTTGATGTGTTTGGTGTGGATTAACTTGAGTGGTCTGCTCAACCCTACTAGAGACCTTTTGGGATTGGAATGCTGATTTGTGAGTCAGATCTTCTCATCCAATATCAGTACCTGACCTCACAAATGGGCACAAATTCCTATAGATCCCCCAGAATCCTTTGGAAAGCGTTGCCAGAGGAGTACAGGCTGTTACTGCTGAAAAGGTGGGCAACTCCATGCAATGGTCATGCTTTTGAATGCCATGTCCGACAAGCTCATATAGGTGTGATGGTCAGGTGTTCACATACACTATATTGCCAAAAGTATTGGGACACCCCTCCAAATCATTGGATTCAGGTGTTCCAATCACCTCCATGGCCACAGGTGTATAAAATTAAGCACCTAGGCATGTAGACTGCTTCTACAAACATTTGTGAAAGAATGGGTTGCGTTCAGGATTTCAAGCGTGGTACCGTGATAGGTTGCCACCTGTGCAATAAGTCCATCTGTGAAATTTCCTTGGTACTTAATATTTCACGGTCAGCTGTTAGTGGTATTGTAACAAAGTGGAAGCAACTGAGAACAGTGGCAACTCAGCCATGAAGTCATAGGTCACGTAAAATGACAGAGCGGGGTCAGCGCATGCTGAAGCGCACAGTGCGCAGACGTCCCCAACTGTCTGCCGAGTCAATAGCTAAAGACCTCCAAACTTTGTGTGGCCTTCAGATTAGCACAACAGTGAATAGAGAGCTTCATGGAATGGGTTTCCATGGCTGAGCAGCTGCATCCAAGCCTTATATCACTAAGTGCAATAAAAAGCGTTAGATGCTGTGGTGTAAAACACGCCACCACTGGACTCTGATACCTGATTATCTGCTTGAAATGCTTTGAGCTTCTAATTTCAGGTTTTTGCTGACAACACTGCCTCTGCTGCCTTAAAATCCCTAGCATTGTTGTCCACTCTCCTTTGTTCCTCTGAAAGATTACTTGTTCTCCCCTCGATCCACACGTGGGTATGGATCCAAGTCCATCACTTGTCAGGTGTAATGAGAAGTTAGGAGCTCACTGGGTTTCTGGCAGATCAACAGGAATTTTTCTATATATAGGGTCTTTAACACACAGGGAAATGTGCATGTAATACGTTTTTTTTTTTTCTTTTCTTGAAACATACATTTTAAGACTTTACGTAACCCACCTATAAAAGCCCATACAAAGATTTCACTTTGAATTGTTTGTGGTATTTAAAAAATGTTGAAGTGACACTTCTATGGAGGAATTTCATTTTCAGAATGAATATGGTCATGTTTGGTGGGAGAAGTGAAAATGCTCATACACAAATGATGTTTCCTGGGTTGCTTTTAAATGAGAGAAAATTTTCTACGTTGAAATATGTTTCTTTTGACAACAGGGTCTGTTTATCAGCGGGATTATTGGCGACCGGTTAAACATGCGTTATGTACTCACTTTTGGCATGTGTTCATCGGCTGTAACTGTGAGTATTGACGTTTCACATAATTTTATCCCAGAGTATGAATTTGTATGTGTTCAGTTCAAGTAGCCTTTCTGACAGCCTGGCAGTGCAGGGGTAATAATGAGTGCTACTGGTTGCATAATTTTTTGACTCAAAAACCTCTCCAACCTAAGAGCAAAGGATCCTGCATATCCCCTAGTCAAGATAACCAATCATTCTCTGCACGTGTGCCTTTTTATAAAAGTTAAAATAATCCTTGAAGAAGATTGACTATGACCACAGCCTTTCTTGAAGAGGAGATCTGCCTTAGGCTGGTGTACATGGACATATATTTCCTTAAAGTGGTTGTAAAGGCCGAATGGTTTTTTTTACCTTCATGCATGAAGGTAAAAAAATCTTCAGTGTGCAGCCACCCCCACAGCCCCCAGTAATACTTACTTGAGCCTGATCCCGATCCAGCGATGTGCATGAGAGCCAAGGTTCTCCTGGTTCTCCCCTCATCGGATGAGACTCAGGAGTGGGAAACAATGGCTCTTGCTGCTGTCAATCACAGCCAGTGAGGAGGGAGCAGCGCCGGGACTGAGCCATGTTCTGTGTGTCCCATAGATACAAAGAGGTTGCTCGGAAGCAAGCATAAATGAATGTCCCCAGAGCAAGCAGCTTGCTCTGGGGGCAATCAACCAGGAGGAGGGGCCACAAGCATCTGTGGTGGAAACAGGAGGATGAAGGCTGCTCAGATCTGTTCAAGCAGATATAAAAGACACATTTAACAGCTCTGTAACAATTCATTTGCGCATTTTAGCACACTTTCCCTGCAAAGCACCCCCCTCCAGTGCTGTGAGGGGCACAATGTGCATATCCACTCCTTCGCCGCTGCTGACATCTTCACCCAGTCCTCTGCTAGGTTTTGCATCTTCGTCCAGCTTGAGTGCCGGGGCTGTGCATACATCATTGTGGATGTAGAAGAAAACACTGCTTTTTTTTTTTTTTCTTCTTTGCAGAAAAGATATCTGCATAAAACTCCTGCCTACCTGCAATATTAATAAAGTAGGGCTTTAGCTTTGCTTAAACCTTGCAGTCTACTGTGCAGCAGAGCTCAGAATGAGGAAGGGAGAAGCAGCACAAGGTGCCAGTCGGTTGTTTTGCAGTGTTCATGCGTTAACAAGGGACATGCTGATTGAAGCAGAGTAACAGAATTGAGCTGCTGCTGCTTCTTTCCCTGTCCAGTCAGGCTACAGGAGGGACATGATTTTTTAAGTGTTACTGAACTGCAGCAGAGAACAATCAGGTATCCTCTCTTGACAGACAGGGCTGTGCTTTGTGGCAGAGCTGTTTGAATCTCTGGACTGTTTGGAAATGAAAAACCTTGGTGTCCGGCTTTAAATACCTTGTGAAAAACCACAGTTGCTGGAGATCTGTCTTGGTGTGGAATTACTCTCTGACAAGGATCCTGAGGTTAAATATTATCTTTGTGTTCAGTTTGCCACAGTTGTGTAAACTTTAGATCAAAGATTGCAAGACTGAGCACTTCAGACCTTGTTGAAGGGAATGATTTCTGAAAAAGTTAAGTTTTCACAGCAACCAATCATTTGTATTTTGTTTTCACACACGAAAAAAGGAACTTAATATCTGGAATCTGACTAACTGTTCTCAACAAGAAGTATAGATTCTTTAGTATAAAGCATGGTTTGAGACGTTTGGTGAGAAGGAACTCGCGTGACCTGCACAGAGACCTGACCTCAATTCTACTGAACACCTTTGGGATAAATTAGAATGCTTATGGTTAGCCAGGTCTTCTCATCCAGTATCAATACCTCACAAATGGGCACAAATTCTCACAGACACACTCCAGTATGTTATGGAAAGCCTTCCCAGAAGAGACTGTTATAGCCACAAAAAGGTTATTCCTATTAAAGTCAATTTTTTAGATTGAGATATAAACAAACTCATAGGTATGATGGTCATAAACCCTTGCGCATATAGTGTATACCTACTGCCATCAGGTCCATTGCAGCTGCTGAGATCATATAAACAATAACATTGCCAAAATTTTAGCAAAAATTTGATGGGTCCACCACCAACTCTCTCTGTAGCAGCTGGCAGCATTAATAAGTGACAATACATGTCAATAATCTTGATCTAAAGTTTGCAGTAATCAAGGGCAGCCAGCAAGAGAGCTGTCAGCATAGTAAGTGCCATATAGGGAGCAGTTCTGTGGATAGAAGCTCTAGTAGCTATGTAAATAACAACCATAATTTATATTATGACAAAATGATTAATGTTCTTGAACACAAGTACTCTAAAACACTAATGCAAAGTTTTTTAAACCCTTAGCCTTTAAAACAAGTTTGAAATATAAATGAAAGGCAAAACATTTGTGTATAGAAATGATTAAAAAAAAAAATATATTTTTTTTTACTCATTTGTTCTCGGCTGCATATTGGGCTTAGAGCACTGTGGGTGGAGAAACTGCAGTACACTGATCTTACCAGTGAATGCCTGTGTAGGGAAGCGTGTCAGCAAAAAAATCTGATCGTTGGAGGACAGGCAGATTATGCTCCCGGCACAGCCAAAAAATTGACCACGCTGGGATGGCTGTGCTTTCATGCCTTGCGTGGTCGGTTTGAAATAGGAACGTAGAGGGACTGGCAGAAACACTAGGTATTTCACACAAAGAAAGGAATACAAGGAAAACCGGATACTTTTTAGCACAAGTACTTGGTACAGCAGACACACATATCAGGAATATGAAATGTTGGTCTGTAACAGAAGTTCAGAGTACAATAAATTTACACAGCCAAGACAGATAAGCAAATGCTTATCTCTTGTTCAGAGGCAGATCTGTGACTAGAGCAGATCCCAAGGCCTGACTTCAGCCCTTCTATACTTGAAACTTAGTTAAATTTTCTTTAACAGCCTTCCTATGTAGGGCCTCCCTCCCATACCTGTCATGTAGAAAGCTATGGCTCTTGTTAGGCCACTACCTACCCTCTGTCTGTCTTTCCGATCAGTTATTGACCTCCCTCACAAACCTGAATCTCTTCTATTCCTTCCAGATGTTTGTGTTTGGCACGCTCACAGAGTGGCTGCATTTTTATAACAAGGTCTTCTACTGCTTCGTGTGGGTGATAAATGGCCTACTTCAGTCCACAGGCTGGCCCTGTGTGGTAGCTGTCATGGGGAACTGGTTTGGAAAATCTGGGTAAGTTTGTTTTATTTACTCTTGAGGCTTGTTAATGGCTTGAAGACCAATTTCAGTACAGGAGTCAACTTGAACGAGAAACTGTGATGGTTTTTGGTCATTTTTTTTTTTTTTTTTTTTCAAATTAGTTTACGGGTTCATCAACTGATGGCTTATATCATTTTTAATGGTTTGTACGCAATATTGTTTTACACGTTACATCCATGACACTCCGTTTGTAAGGAAGGACTGAAGATTGGTTAATGATTTGGAAAATGACTATGAAAATTATTCATCAAAATGACTAGAAGTATCAGGCTCCTGTGTCAGTGTCAGGCTCCTGCAAACTCTTCCTCCAGCTCTCTGCTTATACTTCTGTATAGGCCGTCAGTTGGAGAGTTGAAACAAGATTCAATGGAGTACAAGTGTGCTGATTACTGCACTTGTAGTCTATAGAGAACTACAAGTCTGTAAGGCAGGCCATAGACGGGCCATTTATTGGCCACGTTTTCGGCCGATAAAAAAAAATCGGTCGGCCCCAATGCCAATGCTGCCACTAACGTCCACGAAAATTTCCAGCATGACCGCTAAAAATGTGAAGATCAACGAAAACTGGCTGGCAGGCTGGCCCCACTAACGGCATGAATATCAGATGCTTTTTCATGAGGACGAAAATTCGGCCGATAAAATGACCCGTCTATGGCCTGCATTAGCAGAGCCCTGCACAGCTGTGCCAATTTTAAATGTAACAGTGGCTTCAGGGAAATGGATCCCCATCCACTGTCGCGCACGCAGGAGGGTGGTTTAAGCATGGAGCAGAGGTATTTGTACCCTGTTACAGGTTACACCCATGCAGGTGTAACATGGTGCAAAAGGTGAAGTTAGCCTTTAAGGAAAGACTCTAAGCAAAAACACAAATAGCAGAAGCTAACCTGACATCGATTCTAACCTGTCCCTACTCTACTTGAGGAAAAAAGAAAAATGTTGGTGTCCCCTTTGGAGAGATTTCCTCTCGCTTCCTGTCTTTAGGGATCCAAATACGTTATTGCAATAAACATATTTTGCCTTGTACAAAGTTCTAATTTACCACTTTTAACTTGTACAGACGCGGCCTTGTATTTGGACTCTGGAGTGCCTGCGCATCTGTTGGGAATATTTTGGGAGCTTTCCTTGCATCATCTGTTCTAAAATATGGCTATGAGGTATGTGCTGATAACAATGGTTGAGATTAGGGCTGTGATGCAAATTAAAGGTTTTTAAATTTATTCCAGTTTATTTTTCTATATTCCTGTGTGTTAAAACTCCAGGCCAATTTGGAGATAAAATGGTCATTTTCATGGCAGACCTAATTATGCTGAAGGTTTGGTTACCTGCTGTCTGCACCAAACAAAAAAAAAACTATCCCTAAGAGACAGCAGAACCAAAGCTCCTGTGTCATTACACAAAAAACTTTGTGCTCATTTTGATTTAGAGTATGTAAATCGAAAAAAAAATAAAAATGTAGCATTGCAGTTCACCAGTCCGTTAGATGTGGTGGCCGCATTAGTTTTTGTTTTTATTTATTTTTACAAGTGACACACCTCCTGGCATAGAATGACAACACACGATCACTGTGCAGTTTCTGTGGAATATTGAATTGTTTATCATAATTTTTAACTTATTTGACTTTTAACGCTATTTATTTTTTACTAACACACAATGTCTTTTCTATTATCTTATTGCTTTTTATGATCTTTGCAGTATTTTAAGGAATATACACTACTGTGCAAAAGTACTAGGCAGTTGTGAAAAAGTGTTGTGAATTAAGAATGCTTTCAGAAATAGATGTGTTAAGAGTTTATTTTTATCAATTAACAAAATGGAAAGTAAATGAACAGAAGATAAATCCAAATCAAATCAATATTTGGTATGACCATCAATTGCCTTTTTAAAACATCATCGATTCTTCTATGTACACGTGCACACAGTTTTTGAAGGCATCAATTCCAGGACTCCTTGTTATTCTTTACGCTGAAGATAGTTCAGGATAAGATCACTTTTTGTCCTGGTTCACACTGATGAGGTTTGGGGAACTGCCTGTGATTTGGACAGGGGTCGCACACGGCATTCCTATTCAAATCACATGCTATTCTTTGCAGTGCGATTTGAGCACATTAATTTTGTATGGCGCAAATCGCAACACACCCACCCGAAAAAGGTGCATGCACCTTTTTTTTTTTTTTTTTTTTTACCACATTGGAATCAGATTGCATGGGTGTTCCCATCTATGCAATCCGCTTTAGCCAATCACACTGCGTTTTTCGACCTGTTTTTGGGGTGTTGTCAACTTAGCAATGACACCTGCATTGGTTCATGGGTGCGATTGTGGTGCGGTGCAGGAAATGCACAGTAATAGCTGCGAATCCTGCATGGCATCAATGTGAATGAGCACTTAAAAAATAAATAAATGCAGGTTTTTTTGTTAGGGACTAATTAAGTTACTTTGCAATCTGGCTGGTAAGTGTGCTGGGAAATCCTTTATTTGCTTGTGATGTGCATTGCCCTTCCATGTGCACCTTGCTGCAAAGGCCAGTTGTAGGTTCGGTGGTTCCACTTTTTTGTACAGTTGGACAAATTGGGTGCAGGGAAGCACTGGATGCCTTTGCTGCCTTTGAGTGTCGGTGCTAACTGGGCCATTCAGCATCAAGCTTTCACTGTTTGTAAGGCTGCTACGTGTTCTTTTCACATGATTAAGTTTGGATGGAGGGTCTTGCAGACAGCTTCCCCCTTTTCTGTTTTGCGATTTGGGTTTGTTAGCCTTGTTGCTGTGTCCTCTCATTCACTGCTGTGGAACATTCCATGTTTTAATAACTATTGACCCCTCTGTGTCCTGTGGTGGTGTAGGATTAAGAAATTAGGATTTTTGATTTACCTGTAAAATCCTTTTCTTGGATTACATCACATGAAACAGATTCCTAATTATTTGCTTTCAAACTGAGGCTTAGCTGAGCTGGGAGGGGATTCCGACCTTTTTGTGTCTGTTCACCTGAAGGTGGTAGCCTAACCCATGGAGTAATGATTATTAACTCCTCTGTGTCCTGTGATGTAATTGAAGAAAAGAATTTTACAAGTAAACCAAAAATCCTAATTTTACTCATTGATTCATTTTCTGTGTTCTTCTGGTATACTTTTGTAGCCCCAATAAAGGGGGCTTAGTTTGACCCTCAAAACATGGCTTGTGATAGTGTTTTTTGTTTTGTTGTTTTTTTTTGTTTGTTTTTTTTTCATCTCATTTTGGGGTGGAGTTGAGTTGTCCTGTCTGTGTCTATGGACCGAACCCACGGGTGTGCCACAATAGGAAGCAGCTTCCTATGATGGCACACCAAGAAGGGAAGGACCAGCCAGCAGAGCCAACAGGTGACTCCAGGAGAAGAGGATTCGGGGACAATCTGTGCAATTTGTTTGCACAGAACAGGTAAGTATAACAGGTTTGTTATTTTAAAAAATTATACTTTACAACCACTTTAGCTTTCCGTGTGGCATTTCAGTCTCAGAACCTGTACATTAGTGGTTGTAAAGGCTCAAGGTTTTTTACCTTCATGTATTCTATGCATGAAGGTAAAAAAAACCTTCTGTGTGCAGCAGTGCCCCCAGCCCCCTCAATACTTACCTGAGCCCCATCAAGTTCCAGCGAAGTGCACAACAGCTGGGTCTCTGCCACCTCATTGACTGAGACAGAAAGCTGGAGCCATTGGCTCTCGCTGCTGTCAATAATTGCCAGTCAGCCAATGAGAGACAGGGGTGGAGCCAAGCCGTGGCTCCATGTGTGAATGGACACCTGGAGCAGCGGCTTGGGAACACGCCTGCTTGAGTGCCTCTATAGCAAGCAGCTTGCTATGAGTGTACCTGACAGGAGGAGCCAGAAGCGCCGGCAGGTGACCCAAGAAGAGGAGAATCTGGGCTGCACTGTGAAAAACCACTGCACAGAACAGGTAAGTATAACATGTTTGTTATTTTACAAAAAAAAATTGAACCTTTAGTATCACTTTAACAAACCAAGAAAACACTGGAAATCCCTTGGAGTGGGGATCTGCTGGCTCAAAATTCAGATACCTCATCTAAATACTACTATTCCTTTAGCAATGGGACAATCCCAAGGTTTCAGCACTACCCTTCCTTCCTTCTCATGTCACACAAAACATTTGTGCTTTTTATAAAGGTTGTTTGCTTTAGTATTTAAAGTGTATCTAAATTCCAAAAACAAAATGTAATATATTGCAAATTATCAGTCCTTAGATATGATGGCTGCATGAGGGGTTTTTATATCTTTTTTTTTTTTTTTTTTTTTTTTTTTGTCTGTAACACACTCACTGTACAGTGCAAATGTAAAAGTTGCACCCCCTAGATTTTAAAGTGTTACTAAACCCACAACAGTAAAATCAGTCTGTATATGCAGTAAAGCATGCTTGTTATACTCACTGTGGATCTTAAGTGGTTAATCCTCTGCATTGTGTAAAAACGCAATTTGATCCTGACTTCTCTGATCCTCCCCTTCTTCCTTTGTCCCGTCTTATCTCCTGATAAGACATATCATGCAGAGACACTCTACACATGCTCAGTTTGGTGTGTATTGCTAGAGAGGTTTTTTTTCTTGGGAGAGTGCATGTGATCAGCACAGGGCCAATCAGCACTGTACAGACAGAGGTCAAAGGTTCTGCATCCTCCTAGAGCAGAAAGAAAACTTCTCCCACAAGCTTTAACCAGTGCTCTGCAGAACACTGATAGAAGCCACAAGGATGCTCTAACTGCTGATGAGAAAGGGTATTTAGCAGTTTATATTTACTAAAATAATTGCATTTCCATGTAGTGTGTACTGTGCGAGACCAGATAGAGAGAATGCAGGTTCCGGGGTTTAGTAACCCTTTAAGTGTGCTAGGGCTACAGAATACCTCCTTATCTCCATTAAGTAAGGTGCTGGTTTGTAGTCCACCAGGAGAAATGTGATCAAGATTTCTAGCAAGATTAACAGATATTTTGCATAGGATGTAACAAAATGATTTACATAGTCTAATTAACAGATCAAAAAGGAGCAAATAGAAAACATTCAACCTTGGGGTTTATAAACCATTTATTAACAATTTTGTCATAGATTTGTCAGAAATAACTATTTTGTTCTTTTCCTCAGTATGCATTCCTCGTAACAGCATGTGTGCAGTTTGCTGGTGGTGTGATCATTTTCTTTGGCCTGGTGACATCTCCCAAGGAGCTAGGTAAGAAAAGTTGAGTTGTCTATGATGAACTCTCATTATTCAAATTCCATTATTTGGGCCAGAATCTCAACAGGTTTTTGTTGCACCCCTTTAAATTTCATGTGTTCTATTTATGTAAGATATTTAGATTTCAGTGCAGACATCCATTTCTATTGAATAGCGCAGGTCAATAAGCAGACATCAGTCTGTAGCTCTCACCAAATGGTGTCTGTCTAACCCATATTGATTCTATATGTCCCATTAAAGTATGATATGATCAAGTAAGTGTGTGACATTTTGCACAGTAGAGTAGGGACTGGCTAGAGAGGGATCACTTTGGTGCAGCTGGCCAGCTTGAACATATTTTGCAATATATGTGAACCAAAAATTAAGTTGTTTTTGGTTTTTTTTTATGCAAAAGTTTGTTAGGAATATGTGAGGGTGTATAGCAGTGTGCAAAGGGTTAAGGAATATGTGAGGTGTGTATAGCAGTGTGCAAAGGGTTAATTCATTATCTTCAGATGGGCTTTTGTACTGCTTGTCTCCCAAAGTTTGAGAATGGAAAAGCAGCTGAAGCAGGTCAAACGTAACTGCAATGAATTGTGAATTGTCTCAAAAGCGTCTCAAACTGATACCAGCAAGCTGCAATTGCCCATAAAAGCCACTGGCACTAGCCCTATGAATAATCTGAAATCCTCCTGCGCTATGAGAATGGAACTCCTAAACCTCTTCTCTAGCTGCCAGCACTCAGAACTGATACCAAAAAAAACAGTGTGAATAAATTATAAGTGAATAGTGCAGCGCTCAAAACAACTACAACTCAATATAATAAAAATGACAAAAATATCAATAGTGATATAAATAATAGTGCCAACCCTTAATAAAAATAAAAAATATAAAATATAAAGTGCCAAACCATGACCATAAACATAGTGTACACACAGTTAAATATAATAAATGACACTCCAAAAACAATGTCCAATGAGGAAAAACTTTAGCAGTGCTCACACAGTGCCACAAAAATAAATCAACATTTTGTGTATAAATAGGGGACAATGTCCTTTTAGTGAAAAAAATAATCATGCGGTGTGCAACTGTGATATTGAATGAAAACGTGACTGTGCAAACTCCTTCCGAAAATGGCTAGATTGCCCCCTCACCTCCTCCTACTGACCCCGAAGGGCCAACAGGCTTGCAGGATCACCTTGGATCCTTAGTTTGAAAAGGCCAGCAGCTTCCTTCCTTCCCTGGATCTCCTCTGCAGGGTTCCAAAAGCCCCTATTCAGTCAGGGCAGTCCTGAAGGGTAATAGCTCACCAATCCAGTGAGCCAAAGAAAACCCTATGAATGCTTCTCTTCCACAGGTTTACCAAACGCTGGAGAACAGGAGGGTGAGACCAGAGACCAGGAGGAAGAGGCTAACCGACCGCTTATCAGTGAGGATAATGAGGTGGACAGTGATGCGAGTTATTCTGTCCAGGCTCCGGATACCCCCAGCACACCTAAAGCGATCAGCTTTATGCAAGCCTGCTGCTTACCGGGAGTGCTGCTGGTGAAAAACACTTTTATTCATACCTAACTGCAGGCAATTTAAAAGGCCGCTTTAAGGATAGGGAAAGCATTACAATTTCTGTAAGGTTTTTATGTTTGTTTGTGACCCATTGGGGAGATTTTACCTCACTTATTGTCTGTGACACCCGTACAGGTAACGGGGGTGCTGGTATCACTGGAAAAAATAAGTCACATGAAGTAATAAAAGCTTCTAACCCTTTGCCATTCTATTAAAATGACTGTCTCCTGTTTTGTTCTCTTAACCTCCTTGGCGGTATGATTCCTTCCGATTTTTTTGTGCTGAAAGCGGTACCATTTTTTTCGCATGGAAATAGTTTTTTTATTGTAGGCTGTAATTTTTAGAAAAATTTCCCCACAAATCATTATCACTCAATTCTGTAAGTGGTTCTGATTTACTATCGCTGTTCTCTAGCCGGTCTAAAACCGCTTTTGATGTAAAGGGACGCTTTTTGGACGCCATGGACTTTTCTAAGTTTCCAGGCAGAAAGAACAGACAAAATGCAGGCAGGGCACAGGACAAAGCACTAGGGACAATATGTATGTGAAATGGGATGAAACAGCAATGTTTTTACTATTTAAAATTGAAAAAAAAAAAAATGACATTTTTTAAATTTTTTCAAATTTCCCGCCGCCGGCGGCGCCCGTACGTCCCGATGTCACAGGACCGGAACACAGAAGCCGGATGCCGGCATCGGCCGGAGGAGATGGCCGGGGACGCTGCAGGGGACACATCGTGGGAACGAAGGACAAGGTAAGTGCTGCAGGGACCCCCTAGAGCAGCGCCGCATGGTAAGCCCGAGTGTAGCTCGGGGTTACCGCTTGTGGTATAGAAATTTTACCCCGAGCTACACTCGGGAAAACCGCCAGGGAGGTTAAAGAAACTTGTCGTGAAAGCAGAAAATCCATTAAAAGACCTGCCAGCAAAGAAGATTGTAAATACCTCTTGTGCTACCTGCACCACCTAATTCTGCTCAAGTGCAGAGATGTTTGCTAGTTTCTTCAAAAACTGACTCTTGTGCATGTGTGGATCTCATGGTCCCCCTTTGTGCTTGGCCAGTCCTTTCACCAACCCCTACACCACTACAGGACACAATAGTGATGTCAAGGTTGGTGGGAGGTATTGCTGAGCACAGACTCCCTGAAGTGTCAGTTGTCAAAGAGACTATGGAAGAGATGTCTCTGCGTTAGAGCAGCATGCAACTTGTGTACAGCAGAAGAGGGTACATATTTACATTTTTTGCAGGGAACTTTTAGTGGAACTTCAGTAGCAACCAAGCACTTTATGGGCAGATTTACAAAGCGTTCAATTTGACTTTCACCAAACGTCCACTGGTGGTGAATCAATCATGCATTTAAATCACCTGCACCAGAAAGATGTCCATGCAGTGGATGTTTGGTAAATGTCAGGTTCACTGATTTATAAATATGCTCCCAATGTTTGAGTCTCAATCCTGGCAACTTTAAATAAAAACATTATTTAGTTGGGAAAAAAAAAACCTTTCTGTTACTAATCCGTGGTCTGATGCGCTTGTTGAGTGTGGAAGTATTAAAACTGACGGGTACTTGCCAGATATTTTTGGTGAATCCTGACATCTGGCAGATGTTCATTAGTTGCTGTTGACCGATAATCCTCTGGAAAAATAAAGTTTGACAGGTCAAGAGCAAGTATATAGATGAGGGCTGCTGTGTGTAATACTGCTACAGGGCGGTGTGTGCAGGGAGGGGTGTAGCCTAAACATGGCGGCGTCGGAGAACACGATGTGAGTGCTCTCCGATAACCTCCAAAACTAACCTTCCGAGACCCTCATGGAGTGAAGCCCTACCTGCTTGAGGAGGGCTCCAAGCGGGGGAGAGACTGGCGCGTGGAAGGGGAGAGGAGAGCGGGCACGGACCTCCGGAAGGTGATCTCGCTGCGGAGACTCCAGTGCAGCTGTCGGGTTGCCGGGGAGACGAAGCAGGGTGGTGTGAGCACGCTGCTCGCCGCAAGGCATCACTGGGAGGCAGAGACGCCGGCCGGCTCCCTGTCAGAGCGGCAGTGACATGTCGGCTCCCCCTGTGCTACAGGACGGAAAGCCGTGCAGCCAGTGGAGGAGTGAAGCAGGAGAAAGGGACCAGCTGAGGAGGACCTCGGTGGGAAAGAGGAGGCTGGTTGGTGCTCTAATTAAATAAAGTGCTGCCGGCTTATAGTTGCCTGTATCCCCCTGGCCGGCTGTTTGATCCTGGGTCAGGGAGACCCATAAATATCAGGACATCTACTCTTCTTCCCCAAGACCATCCCCAAGGAGAGAGAAAGGAGGTGGAAAGAAAGAAATAAAGTATCGGATACCCTGAGGAATCCCCCCCCAGGACTGAGCAGCAGTGAAGGCCCTCCACATAAGCCTGGAACCACCGTCCTGAGAAGGGAAGGGTGAGTGAAAACTGTTGGGGGCTTATTGCATGGTGAACCCCTGAGTGATACAGGCGTCCAAGGGGTCAAAGAGGGGAGGATTCCTAGGGGTTAGAAGAGAAGAAGAAAGGAGGCCCAGGTGTCCCAGGAGAGTAAAGGATATAGGAAAAATTGCAAGGCTATCAAGATATATAGAGGATATGAAGAACAAAGGTCCCAAGGGAGCAGGGCCCAAACAGGAACAATAAAGAAATTTACATCATATGGAAATACTACGCCAGAAAGGGCCCAAGGTGCAAAAGGGGGAAATGGACACTAGTTCAGGAAATAGCCCTAGATTATCATGGAGCATGAACAGCAGCGGTAGCCAACAAATAGTGGGGGGCTTGGGAAAAAAAGAGTCAGAAGGTGAACTACAATTACCAAATAAGAAGGAGATGGCAGAAATGTTTCAAAATCTGGAAAAAACGATAAAACATGAAATGACAGCTATTCGAAATGATTTAGGTCACCTTCTATTAAGAATGGAAGAAACGGAGGAGAAAGTTAAAATCCAGGCCCAGAAAATAGATAATTTAAGGGAAAGAATAAGCCAATTAGAAAATAACCAGAAAAAAATGATCTTTAGGATGGAAGTTCAAGAAATAAAGAAAGAAGGAGTAATCTTAGAATACGAGGAATCCCAGAGACTGCTAAAGGGGAAATACTATATGAACTAGTTAAAAAAAATCCTAAACTCCCATAAGAGATAAACCGGAATCTGATGGGATCGATTTGGATGGAGTGTTTAGGGTAGGAAAGTTCAAACGGGCTACTGAGAAGGAAAGACCGAGGGACATAATTGTCCAGTTCCAAAATTTTGGGGCCAAAGACGAGATCTGGAAGAAGACCAAGGGAAGATCATTAATTAAGTGTGGAGACTTGACTATCCAAATCTATGCGGACTTAACAGTAGAGACCCTAAGGAGAAGGAGATCCCTGAAACCCCTGTTGGAGCAAATGAGAAAAACAGAATGTGCAGTATAGATGGGGTACCTCAGCATTTCTAATTGGCTGGAAAAATGGGGTCACAGCGTATCTGAGATTTCCGGATGAATTAAGAGATTTCTGTGATAGACTGGACTTGCAAAGAATGGAGATAGCTGGGTGGGAAGAAGAAAAAGAAGATAAAGGAAACATAAATGTTATAAGAAAAGAGGACTGGCAACAGGTCGGGCTGAGGGAGGCCTCGGTTGAGGGAGAATTAAGTTTTTTTTTTCTTTTTTCTCTTACTTCTCTCCCTCTCGCCCCTAGCCTTCCCCCTCCGGATGCTGAGACCCGCTTGGAGGCTCCGATTAAGGCAGGGAGGTAAAGAGTAAAGACTCTTGTTGAATCTAGATGACAGAGAGAGGGAATCGGGGGTGGTAGGAGGAGAGGTGAACCGTACATAGGCGGAGCTGACGCCCCAAATTTTAAATCAATGGTGGAAATAGATCCACAAATGATTTGTAGGCAGTTTATAGGCCTAAAAACGGGTAGGGGAAAAAGAAGGGAGGATGAGAGGGGTGGTGGTGGGGGGGGGAGGGAGGGAGGGGGGGGGGGACGAGAGTTGGGTGGGAGGAAGGGAGGGGGAGGAGGTATTGGGTCAATACTCTGCAGGACAGAAGGGATAAAGAGGAAGAGGCAATCTGGAAGAGAGATGGACTTATTGGGAAAGATGGAAGAATTACAGTTTATAACCTATAATGTGAACGGGCTGAGCTGTCCAGGGAAGAGATTTAGGTTGTTTAATGAGTTACATCACAGGGGCTACGTCAGTGGTATTTTTACAGGAGACGCATTTTGAGATAGAGGCAAACGTGAAATTGAAATCCAAATACTATCCAACATGGTACTATGCAGATTCTCCAATTAAAAGAGCAAAAGGGGTTGCAATAGGTTTGGCAAAGAACATGAGATTTGAGTTGGAGGATAGAAGAACCGACCCGGAGGGGAGGTTTTTATTTTTAAAAGGTAGACTTCAGGGGATTGAGTGTACTTTAGCCAATATATACTGCCCCCAAATAAAAACTCGGAGAAGTATATGAAGGGCTTGTTGAAAAAATTAATGGACTTTAAAAAAGGGCGCTTGATAGTAGCTGGAGACCTAAACTTTTGTATGGACCCACAAAAGGATAATACCTCTTCTGTGCAAAAAAAGAGGGGAGCAGGTCTCTGAGAGCTTTGAAAAAAGTGATGCATGAATATCAACTAGTGGATACCTGGAGAATAATGCATATGAAAGACAGAGACTATACCTTCTTCTCTACTGCACACGAGATATACTCGAGATTAGATTACATCTTAATAGACCATCACTAATAGATCATCTGGTAAAAATTGACATAGAGACAAGGATGTTCTCGGATCATGCTCCGGTCGTGATGAAGTTGGGATGGGGAAGAAGGTGGACGGGAGGATTAGGGTGGAGGTTAAATGAGGTTCTTCTTCTGGATGAGGATGTAGTTCAGAAAATCGAGAAAGAGATCAAGGTATATTTTAAGGAGAACGAAACAGAGGAAGTATCGATAGCTACAGTCTGGGAAAGTCATAAGGTATTCATAAGAGGAATCTTG